AGGAGGAGGAGGAGGAGGAGGAGGGGGGGGGAGGGGAGGGAGAAGGGGGGAACGAGCGGGCAGCCTTTCATTTGCGAGCAGGTTAATTAGCGAGCTATCTCGCCTGTCTTATTTGTAATTTATAGAACGCGGCCCATTGACGCGCGTCTCTCGCGATCCTTCGCGTCCTCCTGCTCTTGCACGTAAATACGCGAAGAAGCGCGGATTTAGAGAGACCAGCTCTCCTTTCATCGATCGACGCAACACGTTCGAATCGTGTCGAAACGAAACGAATCAATCCTCGTTTCCCTTTGTCCGTTTTTATTATCCCTACCTCTTCTTTTTCCTTCATTTTTTATTTTTCTTATCTCGCGATTTCACGATTTCAACGAATCTACCAAGTCGTTTCGATTAATTGTTCTCTCTTAGAAATAGAGGCAGAATAGTCGCCTCTTCCTCGCTGGTCTTTCGTATAAGACGCGTGTTTTTCTTTCTTTTTTTTTTTCCTTTTTTCTAAGAAAAGTAAAAAGTTAAGCTGTTTCCGTAAATTCTTTTCCTCAGAATTTGTTATTGATCGAACACGATGCTTGGAAAAATATTTGTTTGATTGAGTTTCTGAATTATAACAATAATTCTCTTTGTTCATTTGCGACGCCTATGCCTCGCATGCATATAACACTTGGTACGCTCGAAACGAAAAGGATCGGATACAATTTGATTTGTAATTGTCTTCGACCATTACCAGCTACCCGGTGTCGTCGCTTTTATAGCCTCGCATAAATAACGTTTATTGCGGACTTAAACGGCGAATGCAACGGCAGAATCGCGGTTAATATCAAGAAATTGCAGCAGTTTCCAACCTTTTATCGAGCTCCATTTTAAATCTGCTCAATCTCGCATTACCTGAAAATTTACCTGAATCACTTCCCTCAGGATGAAGCCTATGTGCTCTTCCCGCATTTTCTTGTTCATGGCTAGAAGGCCGTGCACGAGATCCATCACTGTTCCACCGTCGCAAAGCTACGAATTGAATAATAAAAACGAAAACGATTGTTAGATAAAAAATTGTACAAACATAGAGAATACAATAACACGAGATAATAAAGAAAGAGACAAACAATATGTTAAATTTAAAAGCGTAGCAGCAACAACTTCTGATTCTGAAACTATTCGAATACATATCGACGATGGTAGCACGATTCGATTTTTACAATCGAATCGAGACGCGATTCGACCGCAAAATCACTCCGTTGTGTTTATTCTTAAAATTATATCGCAATCGCGGCTTAAGAAAGCAATCTTCGATTTGCGTCGCCGCATCGTACTTGAGTCGTACTTTCGCGTTGAGCGAATAGCTTACTTCATCCGCGAAATTGCGGAAGCAATTTAAATCGACTACTTTCGAGACGAAGTTTAATTTTCCGAGTGATTTTACGTAATTGCTCGCGATCTCGATACTCGAGGCTCGATATTAACGGTTTCGACTTCTCTCTAATGTAACCTCTAACGTAACCCTGGCACGGATCGAAGCAGAGAAAATGCTTATAAACGCTTCTAAACACCCGTTTACATCTTAATCTAATAATAAATTTTATTTCGGTATATTCCGCCTCTGCCCGCGGTTTCTTGCTCATCCGACGAATCCAGATGGAGACGAGTATTATTTAGTCGTATACGATACGAGCTTCAAACGAAACGATGCTGTTCTTTCGGTACCAAAATTTTCATCCACGATATAAGACTAAGATTAATATATATATATATATATATATGTGTGTATGCATAGCCGTGATCGATGATAAATCTTAACTGCATTATGTCGTTATACTCTTTTCCGTTCGTCGATTCTGAACTGGCCTTCTCGAATTTTAATTCGAGGAACAGAGATCGACTCGCAAATTCGTTCGTCCGTGTCCAGTTCTGAATTCTTCTGCTCATCTCTTTTCTCGATTGTCGAGACGCGTGCACAATCCACCTAACGTATTCCACCATCCTATTATTCTCTATTCTCTATCGTCCCGAGAATTTCATCCCGAGAAATATTCGTTCGAACATAACGGCGAGCAATATCGGATATTCGGCATCACGGTTCGAGCGAAAAAGAAAAGAAAACGGGACGTCGCTGTCGGTATTGGTATTTAGGGGGCATGAAAGATCGTACGTGAACGCGCGTAGTATGCGTTAAATCGAATATCGACGGTTTGCTCGAGATAAGTAATAATATTTCGGGCGCACCGAGGAGGTCCACCCGTAAATTAGGGCCGCGACGTGCCAGGGCTCACCTGCGTACACGAACGAGTTTAATGATTGTTTAATGGCCGCGCGTGTCGTAAATTATCCGTGTATTCGACCGTCTCAAATGCTTGAAATTGCCTCCGGGTCCTGGCATGGGTAGTACGTACACCAACTCTTCCATCGCCGTTGTCTTCCGTTTTTTTCTCTCTTTATTCCCCCCATCCATCTCCCCCCACCCACCCTCGTGCCGTGTGTCTGTTCGCGGTCTCCGCTTCTATTCTTTCTCTCTTTTCCTTTTTTTCTCCCCCACCCCTCTTCTTTTTCTCCGAAGAATTACGATGTTAAAGGAGTGGCAGTTTCACAGTTTCACAACGCTATCTCGAGATCGATGCTCGAACGCGATAAAGATGCTTAGAGCCGAATACGAACGTGTAATAACGTCCGATATCCCGATGATGGGATTCGAGACTAAGGTTAACGGGTCGAGATAAGTTTCGATTCGTTCGATTCGTCGTTACCTCCTTACCTCCATCACGAACCATATTTGATCGTATTCGGTCTTCTTTCCGGATCTTCTGCGATATATACCATAGAAATCCGGCAGATTCGGATGAGACGTGTAATCTCGAAGAATTCTGTACTCCTCGAGGATCATGGATTCTGATTCGGGAGTGAGCTTTTGCACCTTCACCGCGACTCTTTTGTTATCTGAGAATCAGAAGAACGATAAAGCGTGAACGATGGATGGAATAG